GAAATGATCAGTATGTGAAAGGTTGTGATATTTTGAGAAGCTTGAATTATCTGATGGCATTTAGCAGAAGCATGGGAAAGCGGAAGCAGCGAAGTTTTCTAGATGCTATCGCTTGAGAATGCTACAGCGCGGCTACAGTACGACTACGAGAAAGTTCATGCAAGATAACATTTCAATTCAAATTGCAATTGCGAGGAATAGGTACCAAAGTTGCGCAAGGCTTACAATTCAAACTGCAGTCGATACGCCTTTCAGGGAATCACGCGTGTGTAGACAAAGAGCTCTGCCCGGAAGCTTTTGATGCTTTGAATGCGCGCATGCTCGCTGTAGAACCGTATCGGTTCTTTGTTCAGCGAGGAGCATGGTGAAGGAAATTTGAAATTCAGCTACGTAGCGAGGTGAATTCACTCGAACAGAATATGCAGGACAGTAGACAGAACACGTTTCGTGCTAACTGCGCAAAAGTAAAACCGATTTATTTCTCCTGGTCCCTTGCGGCGACGAGGATAAAGTTACTGGGTACCCACCGTCGTTCCTAATCCTTATTTCACCGACGTAACACCAAACCACAAAAATACAAAAAAAGAGAAGGATCTACAAGGAAAAATCATAGGTAATCTTGGGTGGCCAGCCCAAGCCTACAAACTTACCTAAGTAGAGCCTTGCTCCCCGGTTGAGGCTGACCGGTCATCTCTCAGGCTATTCCTGAGAGGTCCACACTACTGAGAGGAAGGTCGGTAACGCGGGCTTCTAAAGCCCGCACTCGCTGCTACCACTAAAGGAACCACGATCAGCCTCTCTCTGATCGGGCCTTCTAACTTGCCCTCACCAATCATTAGCCTCAGCTGTACAGCAAACAAACACATCCACGAGATATACATTTATGGGCAAGCACGGAACGACAACACATCAATATCAATGAGAACACAATCGAGATCAGCTAGAAATGAGGATCCTGGAAGCACGAGAGACGGGTCTGGCGACCCAAAGACGACACGTCGCCAGAGTCCATTCACCATACTGCCGTACCGTTCTGCCTCTGGTCTTTATGCCCTGCACGTCGAGTTATCGCACCACCGATTTGTAAGCAAAGGGCAAGAAGAGAGCCTGGGAGAATAAACACAGAGCCTACGTAATGGCTAGAAGTTTGAAAAGATTTGAGAGATCTCATTACTCACCCTGCGCTCTCTTACAATTTTCATGGAAGTCTGCAATTAGAAAAAAAATAATACCAAAAATATGATCGATGCTCTTTTGGAGACAACTGGTGTGACAACTAGTTCATGTCTTGTTTTCTGCCCCTTGTGCAATCATATTACTGTTCGGCGCGAAAAAAATGTGACGAGTACCTTGCGACCGCCTTCCAGTCGTTGCACGTTTTCAACTTACCTCTGTTTAATATCGCTTTTGCAGAGTCCGTGCTTTTGTTATAGTGACAGCTGTTGAATCATAGCATTGAACTGGTATCCACTGCTGCGGAACCACAATGTTTTTTGAGGAATGAAATCGATTGTGTTCGCCGCTGCTCCTTCACCATTCCAACAGCTATCGCATTTTTCTATTCAGTGAATAGATTTGACACTTGCTTTTCCTTCCATCTGCTGTGCTTCACTTATGAGTTTCAAATGGCGCTATTGAAACGCTCATTTTATTTTTGGAACTAGACTTCGAAACAAGAAAACTTGATTCAACTGTAATGTCAGCTTCGTTGCCTCTTAGGTTGAGTGTAGAATTTACATCTCTACGGAGCTCCTCACCGAAAATGGAGAACTCCTCTGGATTTTAAGTTTCGTATCTATTACCTCATCATTTATACTTACACATGATGTGCACAAAAAAGAAAAAAAAGCATCAATATTTATACATATAACTAGCTGGCGTACCCGTCTACGCCCCGGTTACTTTTTTGAATCCAGTAATTTGTCAATCTTCAAATAGCTTTACCGATAATCTCTATGACCTGCACAAAATGTTTTGCTCTCGAATTCAATGCTAACTCAAATCTGGAGTTTTGACAGTAATTTTTGAAAATAGCTCAAATCTATAGATAAAATCACAAAGTAAAAGCTTAGCAGTATGAATGGAATAAAGGTACAGATCATATCGCGAAAATACAATAGTTCCATCTATTCTTGCTACTTTAACATTTCCGTTGGGATTTTCTGAAAAGGCATGTTTATTTTAATTAACAGGTTTGCTCGGCTACTACGAATATACTTGTAAGCATAGTGGGATGAGAGTGATTAGCATGTCACTCACAGTAAGAATATTTACATTGCCCTTTCCTCTAATCGGTTGTTTTCTATCTATTTCCAATGCTTCATCACAGAAAATTCAACAATGCCTCCATTTTCTGCTCCGCGAAGTGGACTCTGACAAAAGCGAGGGTAGCCTAGAAATCGTTCCCTTATAACGCTACTGCAATTCAATCCTTCAATATTCCCATGTATCGCGACAAAGAACGTTGTCCCTAATATAATCGAACATATTTCGTGGATGACTGCACTAATGCTGTAATTTTTGAGGCTATAGCTTAGATTCGCATCAGCAAATCTAATGCCTTTGACCTAAGGGCTTATCAGTTGTAGTGTCTCTTGCAATAGCACCTCCGCTCCCGCTCAGGGACTGCATTTTTCTGTGACATGCTCTCTAGTCATTTGCAATAAACTGAAGCTCCGCCTTCCCCACGCTCGCGGTGGGAAAGTGATCAGAGAGCATGTTCGCGAAATAGGCGCAGAGTCCAGGCGAGGCGGCCGCGCGGAAGCGGAGAGCTGGTGCGCCCGACGCTCCAGTTGATACGAATTGTAGTTACATACTGAAATTCAGCTCAATCGGTCAACTCATAACGATTTTTATAAAACACGAACATCTTTAGCAACTTACAGACAAACTTTGAGTTTTATATATGTATAGATATTAACTTAACCACTTTTGTATCTTCGCCTAAAAAGGATAAAAGGAGTAATGAAATCTAATTGGAACACATAATGTATGGGGCGGGGCGTGCGTTAATAAACCACTTTGTTTGAGACACTGATTAACTATATCGATTTATTGATTTATTTGTTTTTTGCAGTTTGTGAAATATCTGTTGCTTAGAATGAGAATGGAAGTAAATTGACAAAGCCAAACTATGTCTTCAGTTTTTTCTTTTTGCGCTGGTTATAAATAGAACTAACTAGTGCAAAATGGCAAATTTCCATTTCCGCGCTGTAGGTTTTAGGCCCCGGTCAGACTTCACGCGACTTAATCGTCGCGACTGAATCGCCAAGATTTCCATTCATTTTCACTTCACATTCAAAAATGCCGGGCTGGAAAAGTATCACAACCGAATGCAAGTTGATCGGCATGGAATGATGTTGTAACAGTTGTCTCGTCGCGATTCAGTCGCGACGATCAAATCGCGTGAAGTCTGCCCGGGGCCTTACGAAGCAAAGCTGCTGAGTACCGCCGAACCTGGCGCGTAACGGCAGAGAGCAGCTGGTAGCGAAATACTTTAAGCAAAGTTAATGACTCCAAACATAGTGTTAGGGAATGATATATTAGTGATTATAACCTTGATGTAAATTGTGGTAGAAACAACTGCGACTGTATGGTACTTCTCAGCTTATCCTCATAGTAAAGATAGTAAAGAATAACTTGAGCCGTTCTAAAGCCACAACACATAGGCAGATGTATCTCCATATCAAGTGCAATCATTTCATCTACGCACCTTGTAGCAGCTGTTGTACCTCACTTAAATCATTTTGATTCTTTGGTAGACTCCTAGTTGCTTCAAATGCTATCTTATGCTCATTATAATGGTGTACAGCTCACCTACTCACCTACTCTCGCAGAGAAATACCTAGGCGAATGGGCCAAACCATGCTAGCCTTAGAAGCATAATTCTTCCTATTATATAATAGCATAGTCTCATCGCTGATTGTGAAATTTTTTCTATGAAAATGACTGCAAACACGAACATAGTCTAAGTCAGTGGAAATTGTGCAGTCACCATGTAAGGCTTATTTATATAATCGTGACGACAGATTTGACTGCGGACTTTGCGCCCACAGAGGCATTACACCCTTATTCAAAAAGACATCACCTCAACACTCAGCTTAGTTACTTCCAGTGTCCTAGTACTGTCATACCTAGGCAGAAAAACCAGTCGAGTAGAGAATAAAATCAAGAAAATGCGGTAGCCAGAAGGTGCGTGCGCGTCGCGCGCGGTCGCGCCATCGTCACGATTTTTGATGCCCTATACTTGATGTACTGCACTACAGCGGCGTACCGAGGAGGGGGGGGGGGGCGGGGGAGCGGGGAGGCAAATAAAAGTTGCTTGAATGTGTTATAAAAATGTGCAAGCGACTTGTTTTGGCTTTTAAATAATCAAAATGATTTTTGAAAGTTTTTGAAAATTCATATTAACCTTGTGAAAATTTTTGAAACTTTTCTATTAGCAAATTTAAGGCAAGAAACAAAGGAGAGGCAACGATATGATTCTGTCATCTTGAAAACACATTTTTAACCGGAGTGGTCCTTGACAGGAAATACTAAAACTTAGGTGAACTAACAATATATGCTCCAGATTGACACAGTCGTTTCAATGGCGTCCTGGAGGAGGACTAACTTGAGAAGAGGCACTAAATTACACAAGTTTTCAAGAAGTTCTCAACAATCCGTTAATTTTCCATATATACAGTTCAAATTTGGTGCCACAAAAGTCTTTGCATTGCAAACAAGCCGTTTGCTTATTTCAGCCTTGTACTCAATTGCGCATGCTTTGTAAATGAACACAGTGGAGCATGTGAATCGTGTAGTAACTTGTTCTCAAAACGTGTGTTCTGGGTGGTCGCTTATATGTCTGCGTGACATATGATACTCTTTGTTTTTGTCCCAGGAACGAAATCCAGCAGCCGAGCCTCATATAAGTTGGGTTTCTTGATCATCATTGATAATCGTCTTGAGTAAAAATTTCCGCCGAATACCGCTTGAATTTCTAAGTCGACGTGATTTAGATGGTCTATCCAGCATCGGTCTTCATCACTGGTGCGAATAGGGGCATCGGTCTTGCTCTGGTGCAAACATTTCTCAAAATCAGTGTAGTGGAACATGTTTTTGCTGGTGTAAGGAATCCCGATGGTGCTAAGGTCATTTTTGCTCCATTTGCGTGCATTTTCAGAAAAGATAACATTTTGCTAAATCATTTGCGTGATGAGTGTAAACCATGAGGGCTCGTGGCAATGCTCCATTGGAGGTGACGTCCGGAGTTGCAAACTAAGCTTAAACTCAGTTTCCTTCCGTAGGCTATTGATCCTTGCTGGCTATCTTTTAAACAGTCGAATCGCTTCAACGCAGATCGCAACCCCAACTTTAGCTTGATGTGAAAATCGTACTTCCAGAAGTGACGCATACCAGGAACAATTTCCTCCACTTTCTTGTAAAGGCGGTGCGCAAGAGACACAGAAAAGTAGCAGAAACTAGAGCTTGAGTACGCCAGCTCGCTACCTGAGACAATAATAGGGACCAATCCAATCCATAACTGGGAATCATAGAACATAAACAAATAAAATTACAAGAACAGACGCGTTTGACGCAAAAAAACGTTGTGGTATGTTTGGTTGATCTACTTGTTATCACAGCAATGTTCTTGAATTCGTTCATCGTAAATGGCAGGCATCAAAGTTTAATATAGCACAGTTGGTCAAAGGTTGGAAATTTTGTGGACTTGCAAGTTTTGAAAAGACATTTGCAGGCCTCCGTTTGAGTTAGATTCGATTCGGAGTTGACGCAATTCGACGGGGTGTGCTGTTAGAAAGCAGGTTAATTGTTCAGTGACCTGGGGTATGAAATTAGACTTGAATTAGGTTCGTGAATCGCTCTGAGCTAACGCGACCTCAACTTGTTCATGTTTTTTGAGTATTATTCGATGGCAAAATCTCAAACTTAGCGCTCCAGCCATTTTTCTGCGCAGTTAGTGCTGGCAGTACATGTTTACTACAATATATTGTCCTTGAAAGGTACAAACTATTCGGTTTAGGACTTAAAAGCCATCAGTGACGACCGACTGAAAATCGTAAAAATTGACCTTGAAAATGACCAGTTAATCAAGGATGCCTATGCTCAGGTACTTACTTAATTCCTTAGTTTTTAGTTGAGTAACTGCAGTAAACAAACAAGGTTCCGATTAGATTTAGGTGGAGAAGGTTGTAGGGGATCATGGATTGAATCTTCTAGTAAACAATCCAGGTGTTATGTCGTCGTACTCTACCAATGGACCCATTTCCAGAGAAACATTGGCAAAGTGCATTAATGTAAACACAGTGGGTACGACCATTGTAAGTCAGGTTTGTTCTTTTCACATTTTCTCCGTGCAAGTAAATGACATAGTTCTATAACAAAATTCCCAGACTTTCCTACCCCTTCTGAAAAAAGCTTCTGCTCGATTTTCCGATGATCACCAGGGGGTCGATCGAGCTGCAATCATAAATATATCGAGTGACTGGGGTACCATCAGCCTGAACAATGATGGGTCAGATTCTTCAGGTGCTCTTGCCTACAAAATTAGTAAGGTGAGATTGATCAATTTCTACGATTTTGCTCTTCCACATCAAACCTACTCAAGGCTGGCGTCAATCAGCTCGGCAAAACGATGGCTGTTGATTTGGCCGGTGATAAAATAATTGTGACGCAGTTCCATCCGGGTTGGGTGCAGACTGACATGGGTGGACGAAATGCTGCTGTCACTGTGAGTGAATTTTGAATAAAAAATACTACGCACTGCATGGAAAACAAATTCGTCTGTTTTCCAGCCGACTGAGTCCGCTACATCTTTGGTCGACTCAATGTCAAAACTGCAAAAACAACATAGCGGTGGATTTTACGATCGCCATCTTAACGTTATCCCTTACTAACTTGGAGGTTTTTATTGCAATATTTTGGCTCTTCATACAATGTCTCTAATTGTAGTCATTTTCGTCGTAAATGTTTTGCATTACTGCAGAAGCATTACACTAAAGTTCCATCTCATGGTTATCTGTTAGATTGGCACGTAAATAATGCAACTTTATATATAACTTTTGTCTTTTTGGACGTAGCATTTACTTTCTTGCAACATAAGAATTATGATGTAAACTGCAAATGCGGACATTTTTGCCGAATTTTGCCATCTTATGTAAAGGTTACGGTAGGTTTACGGTACAATGGGAAATTTAGAATACGTCAGATTTTGGTGAAATTTGGCTTATGGGGGTAATTCGACATGCTGTTCACAAAAATGAGACCCGTTACGCATGAAAAGGCCTTTTTCGTAAAGCCAAAAAGTGGATGTTACTTAGTGACAAATGAATATGATATTCGGGTTCGTATTGGATTACCCTATTGTCTGAAGATTTGATAAATTCTGATGTCTAACAGCTTAGTTAGTGACAAATTGCCCTAAAAACTTGACGCATTTCATTTGTTCTACTCCTCAGAGGCTCCTTATTTTAGTTTCTCTTCAATTTCACTTCTTTTTTTACTGACTTTGACGTGTCAACTTCTACCTACATGCTGCCTATAATTACTTCATGATATGTTTTGATTCAGGACTTGTACGGCTTCATGTTTGCCAAAAACGGTAAAACCTCGACTTTCAAGGGTTTTCAAAAAATGCTTAAATTTTTCTAACACGTCGTATTAAATCAAACAATTTGCACGGCCTTTTAGCTTGATTCTCACTCCACATGATGCCAAAAAATAAGAGTGCTATATTTAGTAACAAGAAAGTTATGGGAAAAGTTGTAAAATTTATTTGCCAAGCTAATAAAAAAGGCGTTTTAATTTCTTTGTATCTAATTCCAGTTTCTATGGTGAGCTTTTTGAAGTGTAAAAAAGACTTCCTAGCGCTTTGCACGTTCTTTTGTAACGCACTTTTTGGCAAAATTCAAAAAAAGACTTCTTTAATCGAGTTTGTTTGCCAGTCTTCTTCCACGAAAATGCCTATTCAAGATTCTTTTTGAAACTTTCATGCTATTGGACAGTGTGAGAGCGACTTATCCCCTCTTACCCCGTTCATAGTGTGCGTCATCTGACAATTTATGGTAAAGGTACGGAATTTAGATTTGAGTCCATTTTCCCAAGCAACAAAATAGTTAGGCAAACAAAATTTTTTTATGGGAGAAAGCGTCAAGTAATAGGCGTGGACAAAAATTCTCGTATCTGTTTTCAGGTGGGCAGGCAAGTCATAAGTACGAATCAGAAATAGTATAGGCGAGAGTATGCCTCCCTGAGGCAAACCCAAAAGGCATTTTCTGGGGAACGAAAAGTCCTGAGAGAAGCGTACCACCATTTTTCTATCATAAAGATAGGAACGAAACCAGTTTAACAAGTTACCGTCTATATCTATGCTACGTAGTCGCAGTAGAAGGCTCTCATGACAGACGCTATCAAATGCTTTGCTGAGGTCAAAGTAAACCACGTCCACTGCTTTCCCTTGACTTAACGCTTCATTCCAGAGATTTGTACTGTCTATCAACTGTGAGCAAGAGAGAAAACCAAACTGTTCAGTAGGAATGATCTTAAGACTGTCAATCCAGTCAAGTAAATATTTTTCAGAACTTTTCCCAAAATCTTCAAAGAAGCAGGGAGAATACTGATAGGACGATGATTAGAAATCCGTCCGGTATCCTTCCCTTTTGGAATCGGTGTTACGACTGAAGCTTTCCAGGCTAATGGGATTTCACCAGTCATCAACGAAATGTTAAAAATGTGTGTAAGGGGTAAAGCCAGCTGCTTCGCAAACAGTTTATAAAAAGTTTGGGGAATACCATCCGATGTGATTGATTGGGACCATTTCAAAGTTTTCATATACTTATAGACAACATCAGACGTAACAGGGGGTAATGCAAGTATTTCGTCAGTGACTTTAGATAAACTGACCAATGATTTGCTCTTATCTGTGAAAGTGCTCTCGAAGAAACTTGCAAAAGCTTCTGCTTTTTCATGGCCAGTGATATACTTTGACCCATCATCTCCAACAAGCACCGGCAAAGCAGAGGACCCCTTGGCTCTGTATTTGATGTATGATATAATGCCTTTCATATACTTGCTGCTTGCAAGTTTCTTGACTCTATAAGACATAAACTTTTTCAAATGATTATTCAGTTTTTTGCTTATCTCTGCATACTGTGCACAATGAAACGGATCAGCAATATCTCTAAATAATCTTTGACGTTGCTCAAAAAGATTGCGAATGTGAAGGGGATATGTCCCAAAGTCCAGGTGGTTCATGGTCTTGACGGGCACGAACTTGCTCATGATATCATGTAAGATATAGAGCAAACGATTATAGACATCGTTGATATCCCTGAGGTTACTAAAAATCTCAAACCAGTTTAATGATGACAGCAAAGCCTTGATCTCATCAATTTTAGCGCGCTCAAAATCAAAAGAGGGGAAACCATGGACCACTTGGCTCGGCACGGTAATGGAAAATCTGACGATATTATGATCAGAATTACTCAACGGAGGAGAAGATGAAAACTCGCTAACAATTTTTGCGTTTGATAGCATGTATGTTCACCACGACGTTGGAAGGTCAACCCACTGAGTCATGGACAGTGCCTCGAAAGCAGAAAGAAATCTTTTTCCTACACAGTTAGATGCGGCTCCATTTACCCAATCAATGGTTAGGTTCAAACCTCCAGCCACTACCGCCTTGATTTTGCGAGAAGATACAAGATCAGAAATCAGAGCCAAAAGAAGGTCATCCCGCCTGGAATCGCTCTGTGGAGGTCGATAGACCAAAATAAGTCTATATCTCTCAGCACTGGATGAGGTTTGTACGATACAGTCAAAGCAGATAACATCCGCCATGAGATTCTTTAATTTGAAATCGACTCCTTCAAAAAGAATGCTATGATGAATCAAGGCGCAGACTCCCCCACCCCTTTTAGCAGCACGGTCTTTCCTGAGCACACTATAGGGTAGACAGCACAAATTTCACCATCGTTTACGTTTGAATTCAACCAGGATTCGATAATCAAAGCAAGAGCCGGTTTGCAAGTAGATAAAAAATGGTGAAGGTGCGTGAGCTTGTTTTTCAGACTTCTAGCATTTATTAGAAAACAACTTCTAGGAAAAAGATCTGATTTTTTCAGTTTTTTGACATTTTGTTTTTGTGGGAAATGTCAGTTGCTTTGATTACCTCTCCTCTATAGACTACATAAATTTTCTTACCTTCCTTTTCATTTAGCTCACGTGCAGTCATGCGTAGATCTTTCTCATGCATCCGTTCTTCCAAGGTCATCGATTTCCGGATATAGACGTTTTGATACATCGGGCTGCTTTTGAGTCGACGAGATTTGGCGAGCATTTCTATTAAAAAAAAACTTGCTGGAAAATATGCATTTTATTAATCTGGGTTTGCCCTCCCTTACCCTCCCCATTCGGAAAATTTCCGTTGGGCGCGATTCTATATCCAGATGGTTTAACATGCCGAAGATAAAATTTTCAATATGCTCTTGTCGAGCGAGTGCTAGTAAGGTGGGATCAGCTTCGGGCACGCCATATAAAACCAATGACCGCTCCCTTTTCTCGGCCTCCCCAGCTTGGAAGACAATGTAGGTAACTTACTTATCAGTTCCTCGAGAAGGGGGATGGCCTCCGGGGCTTTTTCGCTCATTATCGAGTGAATGCGGTCGATCAGATTGACGGTGTCGTCGTCCATGAGAGTTTAGATGCGACTGGGGATGATGGCTTTTTTTTGGGAAGTTGGGAGAGGGGGGTCGCCATGGGTGGAATTGATGGAACACGGCCGCTCACGGTGATCGCAGGCTAGGGACTGGATCGCAGGCTAGGGACTACTACTACTGTCCCAGGGAAAATGTTTATCACGTTGTTATAGTGAACAAGAAATACATATTTTGTGACCAAATACGCAGTAATTTCCATATTTTCTTTACTATCTCTTTCATTTTTGCAAGATTTGGGACTAAACTTCCATCAAACAGTAAACTTTGATATGATAGTGTAAAAACCTTCAAAAATGGAGTAGAATGCCTTGCGAATCGGCTACCCGAGCTCTCCTCGCAACTGATAACTGCCAGCCTGTCGCGTGCGGCGTTTGCGTAATTGACAGTCACAAGTAATGGGATACATCCGTTTGCTCTTTCGGAATGCCACTAGAAGAGGAATATAGGATCGGGAAGTTTGGATATCGGCTCCGGAACGAAACCGGCAACCGTCTCGTTAGGATTCTCTCCCCCACACGAATTTTCCGTGGAAATTTCATGACTTGGAAATAGCCCAGCAAAACGGCTCACACGGAGATCGACCACATTCTCACCAACCGAAGGTAGAGCTTACTTGATGTCTCAGTAGCTCCTTCCTTCTACAGCGGCTTAGCCAAAGAAGGTTGCCACAGTACCGCAAGAAGGAAGGATGTAGTTTATGACGGCAACAGGCTAGAAGAGCTCATATCAAGTTGTGACTGGCTGACTGATGAGGACCCAACGTACGACACGACCGGCTTCTGAAAGATTGCGAGCTTGCGGAAAGTGCGCCTCAGTTACCTTCGAGAGGAACTTGGAACGCATTTTGAAATCACCAAGGAATTGCTCGAAAGAAGAAGATTTCTAAGGCAGGATCCGAATGCGACCCATCTCGAGCGACTGATAGCCAACGCCAGTTGCAGAACATCTTTGCAGGAGGGTCTCAGGAAGTACAGGCAAGCCAAGATACTGGAAGCAGCCGAAGGAAGACGAAGTCTCAAGAAGTGCCGAAGGGACCTCTGTGAATATCGCGTACCGCTGGCTGCACTATTGAACGAAGACAGGACTTCGACTTCTTCCCGAAAGATGGAATCTATCGTGAAGTGCTTATATATCAACCTCTTCCGTTCATCAACACCGCGCCGATGCTCGTTGTTCCCACTGGAGAAGTACCACCACGAATTCTATCTGCTGAAGTGCGCGCAGCGATTCAGACCATGAAGACGTCC